TATATATATATATATATATATATATATATATATATATATATATATATATATATATAATTGCACTCAGGTGCGAATGCTTCGCCCGGGAGCGAAATAGGAATGGATTCTGTCCGCCCACGTGTCCAGATCTAATGGATGAGAAACACTGATTTTTTTTTAAAAGTGCGGTGGCATTTTCGTAAATAATTGAACATCGAAGTGCAAGTAAAATGTATTACAAGATCATGTAAAATGTATTACAAGATCATGTAAAATGTATTATAGGTGCAAGTAAAAATTTACACTGAGCATCAATACTAAGTGCACCTATAGTTATAAGAAGTTGCACCTATAGTTCTAAGTAGTTGCACAAATAGTTATAAGTAGTTGCACCTAGGTGCATGAAAGTTTGCGGGTGGTTTTCAATGGTATTAATACCCGTTGAACTCAGATCAATGAATGTTAACAAGAAAAAATTACATGCACTTATAGGTGAAAGTAGGTGCACCTATAGTTATAAGTAATTGCACCTATAGTTATAAATAGTTGCACTTATACTTATAAGCACACCCAGGTGTATGAATGTTTGCGGGAAGTGAATGCTAACAAGGCAAAATTACATACACTTATAGGTGAAAGTAGGTGCACTTGTAAGTGATTTTACTTGCACTTCGATGTTCAATTATTTACGAAAATACCACCGCATTTTTTTAAGCTATTAGATCTGGACACGTGTCGCGCGCTGATTCATTCGCATATTCCTTCCTGAGCACTTATTCGCACCTGAGTGCATCTATATATGTATACATATATATATATATATATATATATATATATATATATATATATATATATATATATATATATATATATATATATATATATATATATATATATATATTACATATATATACATATATATATATATATATATATATTACATATATATACATATATATATACATACATATACATATATATATATATATATATACATATATATATATATATATATATATATATATACATATATATATATATATATATATATATATGTATATATATATATATATGTATATGTATGTATATATATATGTATATATATGTAATATATATATATATATATATATATATATATATATATATATATATATATATATATATATATATAATACCTTGTAAATTATCAATTTCTCATTCGAATGGTTTATCTCTATAGTTTATGTCTAATTTATTGTTTATTTCTTAAATCAATTCTTCTTATTCTATTTTCTTTTTAAAAGCTATTATAATTTTTAAATTTAATATAATTGGAAATATATAATTCTTAAATGCTCAAAGATGGTACGTAATTGATAAATAATCGTATGAGGTTCTAATATTTGGACTTTCTTTTAATACTATTAACTCTAAATACATATTTTTTCAATCTATTAAAATATAAAAAGTCAATATTTTAATGAAGTTCAAATTTGTGACTTTTTATTTGAGAGTGTCACAGTTATACAACTTCTCTTAATTGCACTTGATTGATACATAGTCCTCTTAGTTCCACTTTAACATTTTCTCGTGAGAAATATAATCAACGTAGAATCTCTCTCTTTTAAGACGAATTTTGTGCATCAGTGCATGACAATCCATAGTGGCTCCCCTTCCATCTTTATATATATATATATATATATATATATATATATATATATAGAAAAAAGTTCAAATACGACAGGGACTTTAGGTGCGGTGGCTGGTGCGGCCATAACAGCATCGTTCATTCTGTTTAATCTAACGGCAACGGCTAATTTATGAAGATTTAAAGATTTAAGCACGTCTTGATAAGTGGGGGTTGTTATGGTAATTATAGTGATCATTTATATCGGTCGCTTGACAGAATACACCAACAGTGTTAACAAAAGACACCAATAGTGTTAGGAAAAAATACAACAATGAAATGCACAAATACACCCAAATAACACACAATACACCCAAAAAATACATCATATAACTCACCACCCCAATTGTGTATTTCCGAACACTGTGTGGTGCTTTTATTTATACCTAATGGTGTGTTATGGTGATACATACCTAATTGCATCTCCTAATTTGTGCATGTTTTTTTTGTGTGCATTTTCTAAAATGGATGGTGTATATTTGTATAACTATTGGTGCGACCGCACTGACCGTAGGGGAAAGGGCTGTCGCACCTGAACTTGGCACCAATCGTAATCTACAAATACACCAGCGTAAGGCTAATAATGCACCAAATACATATATAAATAAAACACACAACAATGTGATTTGCCCTATTCCGGTGCTCAATGACGACTTGAGCCTTGCAATTTGCGTAGTGGGAGAACGTGCGCTAAAATATTAGAAAAGTCTTGATGAATGTGATTCGTCCGATTTATCTAATCTAATGACCTATAATTGATCACACTGCCGCACTTGAACTTTCCCCTCTCTCTCTCTCTCTGTATATATATATATATATATATATATATATATATATATATATATATATATATATATATATATATATATTGATTATAATTGTTATAAATATAGTAATTATTACCTTAAAATATTTTAACGTTGTAAAAATTTATTTGTTTCAAATTTAAAAAATACTCTTAATACTTTGTGGTTAGTAGTTGAAATTTATAAACTTATTCTTATTAATTTTACTACATTATTGATTTTTTTTTATTTTCTTGTAATAATTTTTAAGTTAAATAGTTAAAATAAATATATAAACTTGTAAAGCTAATTTAGAAAGAAAATATAACTTTTTTTGAAAGCTACAAAAAGAAAATATAACTTCAATGAGTCGATATTTAAAATATATATATATATATATATATATATATATATATATATATATTATGGACAAAGTTAGATTTTTCATTTTTCAAATTGACTGAACCCAACTCAAAAAATAAATAAATAAATAAAAAAGACCAATGACATATTGGTGGAGCGTTATGCTGTGCAACTGTGTGCACCATACAAGGTACACACGCAAATTGATTCATAATTTCTATACTATAGATCCATAACTTCTATACTATAAATTCATAATTTTTATACTATAGATTCATAATTCCTATACTGTAGATTCATAATTTCTATACTGTAGATTCATAATTTATAAACTGTAGATTCATAATTTCTAAACTATAGATTCATAATTTCTAAATTGTATAGTAATCAAATTATGAACATATAGTTCAGTAATATGTGAATACATAGTTCAACAGTTGAGAATATGAACATAGAGTTTTGTAATTGTGAATATAGAGTTCAATAATTATGAATCTATATTATAGAAATTATAGACCTATAATATAAAAATTATGGATCTATAATATAAAAATTATAAATCCAATTTTGTGTAAACCATGCATGATGTACACGATTGCACATCATAATTTGCCCGTGTGGGTCCAAGTCCACCCGTTTGACACATCTACAATATTGTATTAAAATTTATTCAAAAGACAAGATTTTAACAATCTTTAACTAAATGTAAAAAAATTTAAGATCAAAGGTTAAAGTGAAATAAATTAAAACTACGAAGTAATCAGTAAATTGTTTTTTACTGCCCCAAAGCCTATAATAAGACCCTTCCATGAGTTCCATCTCCTCAATCCTCCCTCTCAACAATTACCCAGTAGCAATTAGTCCTCTCTCTCTCTCTCTCTCAGTCTCACCCAATCTCCCTCTCTGAAATAGAAGAGAAAGCAGACTTCTGAACTCTGAAGTCTCAATTTTTCTCTCTTCTCTCTCTCGCTATCCTGTTTCCTTTTCCTTTAAAGATTGAAATTTTTGCTTCTGTGTAGCCGGCTCTAGTTGTCACTCTCGAAGACCTTTTACTTTGTTAACAGATAACAAAGCCAAGAAGCCCTTTTTGGGTGTAGAAATTAGCCTTTTCCCCCTCATCACTTCAATTACTTTGTTAACAGATAACAATTTGTATTTTCTGTTTCAAGTGAAAAAATAAATTAAAAATGAGTGAAGTAGACTTCTTGAAGATTCAGGTATGTTCTGGGCAAACTCCGTGCGCCGTTAGTTGTTGATGATTTTTTTCTTTCTTTCATTTTCTTCTTTTCTGCTTGTTTTTTTTTTTTTTTTTTTTTTTTTTTTTTTTTCAATTTTTGAACGTTTTTCTATGTATGTGTTGGCTTGTTCATGCAGACTTGTGCCCTAAAAGTAAACATTCACTGTGAAGGCTGTAAGCAAAAAGTGAAGAAAATCTTGCAAAAGATTGATGGTATACATACATATATAAATATAGAGTTGTACTACATAGACTCCCAAATTCTACTTCCTCATTTGTATTCTCTGAGGTGGCAAATCAGGATTGATTATTTTCAACATGTGGGTCCACAGAAAAGTGTCTACATCAAAACATGTGAGAGGGAGTACAAATTGGGAGTATAAAATGGGAGTACACCAAGTATTTTCCATAAATATATTACCCAAAATATCCAAAAAGTCTACGAAATGATTCTTATTTCTTGAAAATCACTTTGAACTTTTGCTATGTATGGGTAGGCGTGTACATTATAAAATTGGAAGCGGAGATGGGCAAGGTCACAGTCTCCGGCGATGTGGAACCGGAGACGTTGATCAGAAGGCTGAACAAGAACGGCAAGCATGCTGAGCTAATTGGTGAACCCAAGGAAAATAATGGCGTGCGGGTTGAGGACGGCAAATGTGCGAGAAGGAAGAAGGGCAGAGGGCAAATGGGTAATAAAACCCATCTTCCGACGACGCCGCCGCCAACCAAAGGTGGAAACTTTCCGCCGCCGGCTATGCTTAATCCTCAGCAGACGAATGCTCTACAAGGTCTGATGACTAAGCTTCCGCCTCTATACAACGTCCCCGTGAACGGTGACGGTGCGCAGGTTCCGATCGCGAAATCTGTCAAGTTCGACTTGCCGGAGAGTGATGACGTCAGTGGCGATGATAGTGAAAACGATGATTTTATTGAAGACTATGAGGAGGAGGAAGGCGGGGTGGACGAAGTGCCTATGGTGGGTAATGCAAACAATGGCCAAGGCGGAGAAGCAGTCGGTGGCGGCGCCGGAATTTCTATGATAAATGACCGTGCACGTGCGGCTCATGTGGCGCCGCCGAACAGGATGGCCGTGCCCGTGAAAGCTGCTCCAGGGGGTAATGTGGGGCCAACGGGGGCCCAAAGGAGTACTCAAGTGGGCCACATCCCCAATTTCCAAATTCCTACTCCCCAAGACATCCCAGCTACGGCCGTGCATGTTGGTGGCGCCGCCGTGCATGCTGGGTATTATCCTCAGGCTCCGGCCAGGAACCCCCTCCAACCCCAGCAGCTCGCCGTTGCCAATTCCTATCCTCAACCGGCGATGTATTTCCGGCCACCGCCGGCCGTCGGCTACTTCCCTCCATCCCCTCTCTATCCATCCTACCCCAACCCTCCTCCACAGGACAATTATTACAGTGATGATGAGGACACTGCCGGATGCAGTGTCATGTGAAGATGGCGGAGGAGGTGGCGGCGGCGGCCGTTACAAGCTATGTATAATATATGGAAAAAAAAAAATTGAAAACAGTTGAATGACAAACTAGTCTGGTCCTAGCTATAGGAAGGAAAAAAAAAGTGAAATTTGAGATTTTTTTTTTATTGAGTTTCTCCTTCTCTTGAATTAACCCTAATTAGATTCGTTGTATAATAGTATAATACTTTAAAATTAGGGCTTTATGATGAAATTGTAATTTGTTGTCTCATGAGAAGGGATGGTGATGTATGTAAGAGGGGAGATAGAGTGTGGAGGGGCTTCAATGGTTCCAATCGTTATGCTATGCACCCGTGTCCACATCGCACTGTGGACACGGATTGAAACGACATCGTTTCATACTAGCGCACTAACGGAGCCGTAAGTGGAACCGTTATCATCAGCCAATCGTGTTTTTTTTTTTTTTAAATTGAATGTTGAATATTAAAACCCAATTCGTCACTGTTAGACTTCATTTCGCGGTTTCTTGTCCATCAAGCTTCCATCTCCTTCCTCGCAAAACCTTCATTCTCCCCATTCTCGTCATTTTTGTCTGTTTTTTTTTCTCAAAATAGACTCCATCACCGTCGATCGCACCACAGGTCTCCATCGTTTACTCTATATACTCAACGAACAGGTATTCTGTGTCTAACCTTGCCTCTTAAAAATGAGTTTTTAGCATAAACATTTTGTGTTTTTGACTCTACATACTCTACATACTCAACGAACAGATTCTCTATACATTTTGTGTTTTTGACCTAGGGTTTGTGTTCTAACACTATACATTCTGTATATTCTTGAATATTGTGTATATATTAGTATATAAACTTCAAATATTACGATTATAGTTTTCAAAAGATTATGAATGTTCATAAATTTTGTGATTATGGAGTTATATGATTATGAATGTACAGTTATAACATTATAAACATATATAGTTCAAGGGTTATGCATGTGGTACTCTGTAGTTTGCATGTTGTGAATATAGAAATATATGCTTATGAATGTACAGTTATATCATTATGAACATACAGTTCATATATTATGAATGTCACTCTGTAGTTTGCATGTTGTGAATATAGAAATATATGCTTATGAATGTACAGTTATATCATTATGAACATACAGTTCATATATTATGAATGTCACTGTGTAGTTTGCATGTTGTGAATATAGAAATATATGCTTATGAATGTACAGTTATATCATTATGAACATACAGTTCATATATTCTGAATGTGGTACTCTGTAATTTGCAGAGCATGGCTGGATTTTCTAATTTGATGGACATATTATTCTTTTTGTAGAGCATGGCTGGATTTATTCGGCACTCCCCATTCCCCCTCTACTTAAGGATTATATGCTCATCAATATTGTTTTTTATTTGTATTGTGTTATACTTTATCATACATAAAGTCATGCATTCCTAATGTTTTCAATGGTAGCAATGGAATCTGAACCTACATTGAGTGAGGCACTAAAGGAAATTCAAAGAAAAATGACACGAGGTAAAGCTGCAAAGGCTGCTGAGACATCACAGCAACCACCAACAAGAGAAATCAAGAGAAGAAAAACAACGAAGGCAATCTTAAACTCACAGACTGCAGAGCCATCACAGCCGCAGTCAGAAAATCAAATCAATCCAAAAAAGAGGACAAGACCAGCCACAAAACCACGAGATGCTGAACATAGATCTGATAGTGCATACTTTAGCACTCGAATGGGACCAAGAGTAATGCATCGGCTTGTTAAGAGACTATCAGCACATCAAAAACAAGCTGTAACTGATATTGGGTTTGAATCAATCTTAAGTCTTCAACTGAACACAAGTGAGTCTCAATTGGTGCAGTATCTAGTTCATGCCTTTGACGTTTTCAAGTGTGACTTTGTATTGGAGGGTGATAAGCTATATGTTGCTCAGAAGGACATTGAATGCACTTTAGGCATTCCGAGGCATAAAAGAGGTGGAGGAGGCTCCAAAATTTGAAGAGAATGGGAAAGCTGAGTACAAGGCTCTACTACGTACTTGGAGGCAACGGTGGGGAATACAAACTGGATCACCAATCACAACAAGAATGGGAGATGAAATTATTGACAGGGGAGATTATGGAGATGAGTTTAAGAGAGATTTCATGGTCTTGATTGTTTCTTCAATGCTCCGTGGATTGCAAACAAGGTACTGCAATGTCAGAATCCTTAACTCTTTGATCAATGTTAGAAAGATCAAGAACTACAATTGGTGCAGCTATACCTACAAGTTCCTTATCAAATCAATCGACAAGTACAAGATAAAATCTGGCGGTGTGTTTACTGGTCCAGTCACATTCCTCCTTGTAAGTCCTTGATATGTCTCTACTTTATATTATTATGAGCATACAGTTCAGAGATCATGCATATGCTACTCTGTAGTTTCGATATTGTGAATATAGAACTATATGCTTATGAATGTACACTTATATCATTATGAACATACAGTTCAAAGATTATGAATGTGGTACTCTGTAGTTTGCATGTTGTGAATATAGAACTATATGCTTATGAATGTACACTTATATCATTATGAACATACAGTTCAAAGATTATGCATGTGGTACTCTGTAGTTTGCATATTGTGAATATAGAACTATATGCTTATGAATGTACAGTTATATCATTTGCAAAGCATGGCTGCATTTCCTAATTTGATGGACATATTATTCTTTTTGTAGAGCATGGCTGGATTTATTCGGCACTCCCCATCCCCCCTCTACTTAAGGATTATATGCTCATCAATATTGTTTTTTATTTGTCTTGTGTTATACTTTATCATACTTTATCATTATGAACAAGAAGTTCATACATTTTATGGGGAATTTGCAGCTATTCTATGTTGATAGAGTCCAATGCAAGGGAATGAAAGTCATTAGAACACACCCTATCATTCTTTCATGGACAACTAAACTTTTGAGAAAAAGTGTGGATGCAGAGAAGAATTCTGGTGGATTTGGAAAGGGAAAGGTTATCCCACGAATGAAGAAACCTACTACAGTTCGCAATGTTTCTGCTTTAGCTCGTCCTTCTGCACAAGTAGTTCCAACGATTTCAGTATCATCATCCAGTGTTGATAGAGTGACGCAAGTACTACAGAAGCTTGCCGCCGATGTAATTGAATTTGGAGAGGCGATGGCTGAGGTTGGAAAGGAGGGAGCACTTGCGGAGGTGATAAAGACAACTTTCTCCGGTATTTCAAATATGATTTCTGTGGCAAGCACAATGGAAGCAGCTCCAAACCCAACAGCATCCCAACTAGATGACATTTTCTTTGGCCAAGAAACTTTTACAGCTGCAGTGGATGATTTGGTAGAGGCCTTTTAGAAAACAACTAGGCAAATGGAAATAGAAGCTCCATCTTTCGATCTAGGAATTTCCCTAACCCCAGCCCCGTTACGTAAGAGACCAGCAGGGCAGAGCACAACAGCAGAAATACAATTGGATGCCCTTGTTGACACCATTGCATGTGGAGCTGGTTTGACAACCTCCAACAACTCTAAAGAACAATCAACTGATGCTGTTTCAACCTCTGGCAACAAGGGAAAAACTCCTTTGATTAAGGTTCCATTCACCATAGACTCCCTTGCCACCCCTGCTGCTGCTGCTGCCCCTGATGTGGAGCTTGATGATATTGATAGGTAAATTATGAATCTACATTTTATGGATTATGAATCTACATTTTATGGATTATGAATCTACAGTTTATTAATTATGAATCTAAAGTTTATGGATTATGAATCTACATTTTATGGATTATGAATCTACAGTTTATTAATTATAAATCTACAGCTAGGTATTTATGAACATACAGTATGTAAATTATGAACATATAGATATTAAATTGTAAATATTTCTATTGCATTATTATAACTACCTACCTGCATTTTGTATAAATACAGAGCATTGAATGAGAGTGAGTCTGATATTGAGGATGTCACCATCCGAAAAAGACCAAAAAGAAAATTCAAGAATGTCCCACTGCATCTACGATCTCCTTATTGGACACAGAATGCAAAATATATTCACAATGCCACTGCGAGGGAAAAGGTCGCTTCAAATTATGCATTCATGGAAATTTCTGATAATCATCCAAGAGAGTATGTTTGAGATCTAAATACTTATTAAACTATTTAATTACTTAAATATTTAACATGTATTAACTAATGTCTACTCTTTTTTTTTTTTTTTGTGCTTTTTGTGGTGTTGTAGCGAGCTACTGTTCAGCTATAAGGATTTCTATGTGACAAGAGAGCATTTCCTCACATTGAGTGAGGGAGAAATATCCAGCATTCTGATTGATGTATGGTCTTATAAGCATACAATGTGCAACATCAAACGAGCAGTGGGACAACCAAAGTCTGTGTTCTTCAGCACAATGGTATATGTAAGTGTCTTTTGACTTGCAAGAAACTGTTATTTGAATTTCAATTTACAGTATGCAAAGATCTCATTTTTTAATAAATGTTTTTCCATTAGCTGCAACTTGACCCAACAAACGAATGGATGAAGACACTCCTACTTGATAAAAAGAAGAAAAATTTCAATGAGAGGTTAAGCTATGAGCTGAGTAGTTTTGGCAATCTAGATATCAGTGATGCACAATTGGTACGTTCTATTACCCACACTCAATGTTTATTTATCACATCCTTAATCATACTTGCTATACTATATATTCATAATATACATACTGTACATTCATAATTCTTGTACTATAAATTCATAATTTTTTTTATTTCTTCAAATCAGATATTTTTCCCTGTGTATCGACATGGACACTATTTTATTATTTGCATCAACACAATTTCATCTAAGCTTGAAGTGATAGACAACAAAGCCCTACCAAAAGGTGTTACAGAAGAAGATAAGTATGAAGATTGCCCTCAGTTATTGGTAACTTATCCAAAAACTTAAACTTCTTCTCATTTGAGATATGTGGAGTATAATGCATAATGAACACTGACATATTTTTTGTGCAGCTAACTAACTGCATTCCAGGAATACTTGACAGCACAGAGTTCATCCTTGTACTGGAAAATAGAAGACATTCCTATAGAGTTCCTTCCTATGACATGGAGAGAAACTGAAAATTCCATTGACTGTGGAATATATGTCATGAGACATATGGAATCATATAAAGGAACTCTAAAGAATTGGAACCCAGGATTCAAGAGAAATTCTAGTGTAAATGTAAGAGAAAAATATATTGTTTTTTTTTTCCCCATTGCATCAAACTAATTGTTTAATATTCTTCATTTGTAGGCTAATTTCATCTATGCGTTGCGAGCTAAGTATGCTGCTGCAATCATAACGTGGGAAGAGAACAAAGAAATGCACAAGATTATGAAAGCAGCAAGGGATATGTCCAACACAAAAGGAATGTGAACTACTGTCATTTTGAACATGGTTGACTGAAAGATTGTGAATTTTGATTTCTGAACATATGAATTGTGTAGTGGGATTGTGGGAATGTATATTTTTGCACTTGTGACGATGGTTCTCTTATTATGACTTTATGGTTCAAAAATATGGTTCTATTATTAATTTGTGCACATATATTACATAATTCATATCTATAAGATTATGAGCGTACAGTATTCTTATTATGACTATACAATTATTGCATTATGAATGTACAGTTATGGGTTTATGACTGTACAGTTATGGAATTATGAACACAAAGCTCTGACATTGTGAACTTATAATTATGAATATATAGTGATAAACGTTATTATCATATCAACCTACAAATTTTCAACATTGATGTTTAAACCTCTTAAAATAAATAAGGATCAAATATTAATAATATAGACAACAAAACTTGTAAATGTAAATATCAACATAATATGGTTCTACTGTTAATTTGTGAAAATAAATTACGTAATTCATAACTATGATATTATGAATATACAGTTATGAGATTATGAACGTACAGTTATAAGATTATGACTGTACATTTATGCGATTATAAATGCACATTTATGAGATTATGAGCGTACAATATTCTTATTATGAATGTACAGTTATGGCATTATGGATGTACAGTTATGGTGATATGAATATACAGTTATGGAGTTATGAACACAGCGCTCTGAAATTATGAACTTATAATTATGAATATATAGTGATAAAAGTTATTATCATACCAAGCTATAAATTGTCAACATAGATGCTTAAACCTCTTTAAAAAATAAGGAACATGTATTAAGAATATATACTGCAAAACTTGTAAATGTATATGTCAAAAGTTGTGAATATAAAGTTCACAGCTAACCAACTGACATAGTGCAATCTCAGTCTACAACTACATTCTCATCTAAACTCTTATTAACCCGAACAAACTGTGAACTACTAGAAGTTGGGTGTACAAGATATCCATCACCAGCAATCTCAGATATATTTTCCAAAACCAGTGATTGAACGGCACCCTTTATATTTGAAGCAACCTTATTTGCAGCACTCCTTCTTCCCTTGCTATAGTGTACTTCTTTGCAATAATACTACTACTCCTTTTATTACGCACACCTTTCAATCTCCGGCTTGAAGGATCTTGAACAATACCATTTGAAGATGAAACACCACACCCTTCAATATTCACTTTCCCAATCTCAGCTTCAATCAATTTCTTTGCATGCATTCTCAACAGCTTCATCGCAAAACTGTCTAGCTACACTATTGTCTTGACTTGAAACAACCAATTTTTGAAACTTCCTACTAATCTCAACAACCCAAATTGAATGAGGAACACCAACATTATAAGACAGTGAATCAAAGTTCACATTCCTACCAGCTGCAACCTTTTTAGTCCATCTTTTCATAATGTACTTGTCAGGAATACTAGGAACACAGTTTATATCAAGTATGCGTAAACAATGACAACACAGAATTCCCATTTCGGAAAACAGTTTGCAACTGCAAGAAATGTCAAGATTAATCCGCTTAAAACTAACTTCATGCCTTATAATATCTACATCCGGTCGCCACACATGATACTTATATTGACACCCATCATTCAACACAATCTCTTGGTGACACGCACTGCCTTTCATTAACTGTTCCTCAAACAAAAAATAGATTTCAATTGTATATACCTCTCTAGCATGTGAAAGAAGTTTCACATGGTCAATCATCATGGCAGGTACACCTTGAGCACAACGAAAATCTTCACCATTTTCTTTACTTCTCCACTCAGAAATAACACCAACAAACGAGGAGTAGAAATCACACAAACCAGCATTCTTAGATAGCCTTCTAGAAATTGAATGGTTTGTGGTTTCACTCCTTTGTGAAGATAGAATACCCCCAGAAAAATAATCCTTATTGAAAGCTGGACACCATTTCTCCCTACAGTCGTAAAGCTTCCCTAGCCATGAATTCTTGTGACACTTAAATTCGGTCACCATCCTGAAATTTATGTATTGTACACTCATAGTTACTTAACTGTAGATTCATAATTAATATGCTGTATATTCATAATTAATATAATGCAGATTCATAATTGCAAATATTGTATATTCATAGTTAATATACTGTTGGTTCATAATAGCTAAACTGTATATTCATAACTGCTATACTGTATATTCATAAACAAAAACCCATAAACAGAAACATACCTAGTCCAATAAAATTCAAATTCAGCTTCAGTGTCCGTGTATTTCAGCAAGCAGTTGAAGATATCCATGAACTCCTTATTGTCCTTAACGTCTTGATATGCTTCTTCGAATTCTCACCAATATGCCATATGCAAAGACGATGGCGTGATGTTAGAAAAACTATAGAAATAGCAGCAGCCATGGCTGCACATTGATCCGTCATAATCGATTGTGGACACTTGCCATCCATAGATCTTAAAAAAGCTCTAAACAACCACACAAAGGATTCTATCCTCTCGTTCTTCAAAAACCCACAACCAAACATTACATTCATACAATAATGATCCATCCCTACAAACAGGCCACATATCATATCATATTTGTTAGTGCGATATGTTGTATCATGCACTAAAAAATCTCCAAACAATTCATAATCCCGTCTCATTTGACCATCCCTCCAAAAAAAATTACACAGTCTTGAGTCAGAATCAACTTCAAAATTGAAAAAAAAAGTCAGACTCATTGGACTGCCTCCTCCTAAATATTTCAATTAAATAATTGGAATCAGTTCCATCCAAACTCTTAACTGTGTCACAAGCCAGTGAATTATAAGCATCAGGACTAGTGAAACCAACCAATGAAGACCCGCCAGATTGATGTTTCAAAAACCTAATACCCCCTGGCACCCCAACTCCACTCTGCTTCAAGACTTTTAAACATGAAAGCTGGTTACTTCCCGCTCTCCTATGTGACCGAAGTAGATGACTCTTGTCTAAATCACATAGCTCGTGATTGTGCACCTTCATATGTTTTGCTACTGTCCACAATCCATCACCACCCACATCAAACTGAACAAATGCACCACACCCTGTCCTTGTATCAATTTTTGAATAAAGCTTAACACCACCATCTGCCTTACACTTAAAACCAGCCTTAGAACAGTAAAATCTCTTCATTTGAATTGTCTTGGTAGATGCCTTGTAACGTTGTTTACCCTTCCTCACACTAAAACCAACTCTATATGCATGTTCGTTATACAACTCAAAAGCTTCATCACCATTACTTACTACAACACCAACCAAATCTTCATCAATTGCAATTGCAAAATATATAACCTCAAGTATAACAAATAATAACGTTTGATGGAAATATAATTCCAACGTAGAGGGGGAGAGGGGAATGCCGAATGAATCCAGCCATGCTCTACATAAGAACAGAATTTCCATCAAATGATAAAAAAAAATATAACATGCACTGAACATTATGACTGTAAACTCATAACTCCATAGTTGTATATTCATAACTCTAAAACTGTACATTCATAATTGCTTAACTGTATATGCAAAACTACATAGCTGTTCATTCATAATTTCACCCTACATACTCATAATTTCATAGTGTATATTCATAACTTCATCAATCTATTCACATAAGCACAATACATATATGATCAAAAACATCATTCTACCAATAAAACCCATCACATATCACCATACTTGATCTGTACTTATTGAATAAAAACATTCTAATTGAGAGTAAACAATGGTAAAAAACCTGGAATAGAAGAAGATCCATCAATGTTTAAATCTCCTTGATCTGTACTTAATGAATCACCCACCAAATCTTCATTCACTGAAAATACATAAACAACGTACACAGAGCAATCAAATATATAAACATACAACTGTAAAATTGTTGAACATATAACATGCAACTTATTGACATTCACTTTACAAATAGCTACAGAGTACCAAAAACTGTTATGAATATATAGTTCACACAGTATGAATGTACAAGTCAATCATTATGAACGTATAGTTGCAATATTATGACAGATGCAAACTGCAGAGATTTATGAGCAATGTAAACACTCCAAAATCTGAAATCACCTGTAAATTCTACCCAAATCGCATACATTGATTGCAATCACCAGCAAAACCTCACCAAAATCTCACACATTGTACGCAATCAACACCAACCACAAATTCAAAAAAAAAAAAATACACTAACACCAGATTTGATCGCATTAACACACACAAATATACGATCGAATTCAGCTTTTTACCTAATAAATCTCAAAACACAAAAAATATCAAGTATATCCAAAATCGCAAAATACCTCGAACCTCCATCATAGAATATCGATCAACATTCAATTCGCTCTGATTTGTTGCCTCATCCATCAAAGAACTCTTTATTCAAAGACAGACGATCAACAAACAACAAAAAACGCGAAAGGAAAGAATATATGAAACTTGCGAAACACTGCGATTGCGATATAGAATGAATTGCAATCTCAAATTGCCAAAACGAAAGAAGGAAACAAAAGAAATCGTCTGCCAAACAAATCAATGACGCCGTTAACGGCTTAACAAACGTAATTTTTTTTTAAAATTAGAATACCGCCGTTTTACCCTAAAACGACGTCGTTTTGGGCCCGTGTCCACAATTCATTGTGGACACGGGTCCAGGGCATAATTTGCCTCAATGGTTCATGGTTGTACATTTTATAAGTTCTGAAAAGAATTATAAAGTTTAGAGAATGAGTGTGCAGCAAAAAAAAAAAAAAAAAAAAAAAAAGCCCATTCCTCTATCCATTTGTAATTTCTTCTCCCGATTATTTTTCTCAATTAATCAATTTATGTCTTATTTATTATTTATTTCTTAAATAAATTCTTATTCCATTTTGTTATATAAAAATAATTCTTGTCAATGACCTTGCGGTCTAGTGGCACCAAGTGGGTCTTCTAATTGGAAGGTCATGAGTTCAAATCTCAGTAGGGCAGTATTGGCTCTTTATGCTTCAGTAAGTATGAAAAGATACTACATTATAATAGAGTCAATATTACTAAAAAAATAAATTAACTCCTATCATTTTTATTAACTATAACTATATAATTTCTTATATGCACAAGAACTGCACGTGATGGATACATACTCCTTCAGTCCCCGTTTCGCATTTTCTCGTCATGAATAACTGAATATTGTGCACATCATAATTTCTAGTCAGGCCCCTTTCTTTGTTAAAAAAAAAAAAAAAGGAAAAAAAAAGCCTCCAACCTTATAATTTCGAGAGATAAGGGTAAAGTACACCTTTTTAAGTATAATCAAAATTTAATTAAATCTTAAAAAAAAAAAACCCCAATTAGACACTGCACCTTAACTCTTCACTCTTATGCAATTTAGCTAATACTCTGTTAGGAACCATGTATTAGGATTTTGATGATACCAATGTAATGTAGAAAGTAGACCCCTAACTCTTTCGTTTTTATTGTATCGCTACTTTCGTTCTAGACGAAAGTTGCCATAACTCATATGTAATTCGTGTTAAGCTAGAACAAACACACGAAAGGAGTTATGAATAGAAGATAGGCTGATCAAGACGAAAGAAGACTCCACAGCAACGAAAGAAGGAGTTGTCATTAAGAAAACAGTTCTTTTCAACAAGTATTCTTCTTCTCATCAACAAGAAGAATGTTCTACCTGTCTGATGTGACAACATCCTAGGACAATAAGGACCTCAACTCATGGGACACGCTACCCGAAGAGCATTTAATGAAGTTGTACTATCTCTGGAGCTAAAAGACAAAAGTCATCAGATCCTCCATACCTTCAACGGCTACATAGTACAAACCCATTAATGAAGCATTAAATGCATGAGGCTCCATGGTCCTTGTCCAACAGATAAAAGGTTTAAAAATTCATTTCCCTCCAACGGATGAATTTTCATCACCTATATAAACCAACCTTCATCAACTAAGAAGGTGCTGGTTCATTTTATCTCTACTCACTCTCTTGCAAAAAGCTCTTAAAAGTGAACAAATCTCAAAGCTTTTTGTGAACCAGCTAGTTAAGGTGTTAAGGCATTTGAAGTAGATCATCCTTCACTGCCCTACATCCTGTAAGAAGTCTTGCACATTTGAAGCAATCATCCCACACCTACAAGACTTCACAGTTGGAGGAATCAAGAAATACTTTCTCACCAACCTCAACTTAGAAGAAGAAGTTGATAGAGGCGGAGTAAACTCTCGGAGTTGAAAAACCTTCAAAGGCTGTCCGGCTTAGTGATCAAGGAAGTCTTTGTGTATTTGTACTAAAGAAGTGATAGTGCAATCCTTCCAGCAGTTGTGGAAGAAGAGTGGAAGTAGGCAAAGTTTGGCCGAACCACTATAAAATCTCGTCTCACTCCTCTCTTTACTTACTGCTTTAGTTTACTGCTTGCATATCATCCTTTTCATCACTTATCTCATCTTCTAATCAAACTCGTGCAACCCTCTCTTAATAATCTTTCCGCTGTGCTTATCCTACTCAAAAGTGTTGTCAAGGTTTTTCTGTTAAAGAATTTAAAGAAAAACGAGAGTCTATTCACCCCCCCCCCCCCCCTCTAGACTCACCATACAATCTATCGGGACCAACAAGTGGTATCAGAGCCGAATACCTTGAACGGTGAAGGCTTTTTGCGTTTTACTGCTTGGTAGATCCACCTTTGATTTTTTTTTTTTGGGATCTTCCTAGTTGCACGATTTTTAAAAAAAAAAAATGGAAAAGGAACATGCACAAAATCGTTCTAGACAGCTTGCTTTTAGTCTTGCCAAGTTTGATGACTGGAAATTAAGAATGCAGGCTCTTCTGTGCTCTATTCATGATGAAATGTGGGACGTCATAACTACTGGACCTATCACAGTGATGATGGCAAATGCACAGGCTGCTGCTCAAGGACCAGATGCTCCACAAATAATACCAAAGCCGAAAGAGCAGTATAACTCGGAAGAAAGAACAAGAGCAAACCTGGACAATGTGGCGAGGAACATTCTTTACAACTCTCTAGATGATTCACTCTTCCCCAGAGTCAGAAAATGTAAAAATGCTATGGAAGTATGGAAAGTTCTAATGGACTTGGGAGAAGGAGATGAACAAGAAAAGGACAACAAACTGACTATAGCCATGAAGAAGTTCGAAGACTTTAAGATGCAACCAAACGAGACGATCATGGAGATGGAGTTAAGATTCACAAGATTAATGGGAGACTTATCAGACCTTGGAAAAGAACTCACCGAAAAGGAGATGAATCTAAAAATTCTTCGTGGATTGCCGAAGTCATGGGAAATGAAGGTCATCGCGATGAGAGATAATCGTGACATGAAAACAACACCCACAGCCAAAATCTTCAGTGATCTCAAAGCATATGAGTTTGAACATGAACCGAAAGATGCCGAGGAACCAGAAACGAGAAATATTGCCCTCGTAGCAAATCAGGCGGCATCAACCCCTAACAGGTCGAAATCTAACTCTTGTGATTTTTTAACTGACGAACAATATGCCCTATTTGTCAGGAAAATGAAAAGATTCATGAGAAAGAACAACTTTCAAGATCCACAACGGTCAAGCCACCGAAAGAGGCATGAAAGCTTTCCTCAGGCCTCAAAGACCGAAACCACTGATTCACAGCTGTTGTGCTACAACTGCCGAAAGCCAGGGCACTTCAAAGCAAACTGCCCCTATCCAATGGTTAGCAAATATCAAGATGGCAACAATATCACAAGCTCTTCAAGGGAATCTGGAGAAAAGCACAAGAAAAGTGATAAACCAGAATCATCAAATTCCAAGAGAGAGGGAAGAAGAAAAGCAATGGTGGTTGCCGAAAACACTGAAAAAGCTATACCCGAAAGTAGTACCTCAAGCTCAAGCTCAGAAGACGAAAGCAGTGATGAGGAGAAAGGACTACTATGCCTCTACAGCCAAGAATCAGAGGATCTATGCCTCATGGCAGATGAAGAAGAGGTAAACTCTCAATCTTCTTCTTGCTCTTCAGCCGAATCAAGTTCTTTAGTGAGTCAAACCTCCAGTGAATCTGTCACTAAAATGATGAGGAGGTTTAAGTTAATAAATAGAACTTACTCCAAATTAAAAGAGGAGAACTCTCGGCTCATGACTAGCCATAATGAATTAGAGCAAGTTCGCATTGAGAACAAAATGCTGATCATTGCTAAGGAGCAGCTCGAGAAAAATGTTCTCGCTCTTAAGGAGCAGTGCACAGCAAAAGAAAAGAGAGAGCAAGAATTGCTTGAAGTATTGGACAAGTTTAACAAGTCATCCAACTTAATGGACAGAATGTTAAACGAATCTAGACTGCCCGGAGAGAAAACCGGAATTGGTTTTAACTCCAGCTCCTCTTCACAAGTCGAAACGAACAAATCCACGAATGCATACTCACATGAGAGTCTTGCAACCATATTTGTTCAAGGACCAACCCAGCTGCCCGAGCCTATGATGGTACATAACAATGTCACAGCACCACAATCAACAAGCCAACCAAAAGGAAAGGCTGTACAACGAATTGTGGAAACAGGAAAGAGAAAACCTAGTAAAGGCAATCCTAGACAAATATGTGTCAAAAGGAATGGACCAAATGGCAGTGGAAAAAGTCCACACCAAAAATTGAGTCAGCCTAACTGGAATTCTCGATCCTATAAAAAGACAAATGTTAACCAGAGGCAATTTCGTCCAAAGAATTCTGCTCAGGAAATCTCAAAGAACGGACAACCTGAAAGGATCCTCAGAAGATCTGGGTATGGGAATGGAAGGACTGGGCCTTCAGAAGAAGATTGGTTTGTTTACCCGGAACTCCTCTCGAGGAAAGCTCTAAAGATAACACATCGACGTAAACAAACCAATTATCGTTGGCATTATGAAAATCCTCCACCAAAAGAACAACAAAGGAAGTATAAGGACAAAATCTTTGCCAGTGTTTATTTCGATTATCGCACCTCCAACGGATACAAAGGACCAAGGATGAGTCATGTGCACTCTAGGTTAATGTGGGTTCCAAAATTGACTACTAACCCCCAAGGACCCGAAACTAAGTGGGTACCTAAAAATACATGATCTTTGATGCAGGAGAAACAGGTCATATGGTATGTAGACAGTGGATGCTCAAGACATATGACTGGTGACAAAACAATTTTGAGCAACTTCAAAGAAATAAATGGACCCAAAGTCATCTTTGGAGGAGAAACAAGTGGCCAAACTCGAGGAAAAGGAGATATCATCAAGAAATGAATAATCATACAAGATGTCTCTTATGTAGAAGGACTTAAATTCAACCTTCTAAGCACAAGTCAGTTCTGCGATAAAGGATACAAAGTAGAATTCCTTAAAGAAGAGTGCAAAATCATAAACACGA